AAATCTTGAAATTTTAAGGAAAACATCATGGCTGTTTTTATCTGTGATTTTTCTGGGGAGAAATGTTAATAGTTTTTGTTAGAATCCAAAGGAATCATTATGCAGAAAGAGGATAAGAATCTTTGGTTCAAACTACCTTTCATGATACTTTATGAACATTTTCAGTTATGCAAAGTTCTCATTTCATGTAATAGATCAGCAAATGTCCCTAATCCTGAAGTTTTTGTTATGAGGGCCCAGCATTGGATACTGATCAATGACTTACATGCCTTGGCATATCTAAGAAGGATGTCACAACTTTTCAAGACATGGAATATAGATTACTATAGTTCTTGCTCTGACTTCTGATCTTATAATATTCATTTCTCCTAGAGTGCTTTTGACAGAGTATGTGATACACTGGTGAGGAGCATGGCATCTGAGATTCAGAAAACCTGGATTCAAATCTCAACCTGTATAGTCCTTGGCAGCTGTAATAGCTGTAAGTCTCAATTTTGTCATCTGTGAAATATAATTAATATTATATGTTTCACTGGAATATTTTGAAGAATAAATAAAATATGTCTGAATAGGATATGGTAGAATTTCTAGTATAAAATAAGCTGTCAATAAATGTTAAGTGCTCTGAGTATTATTTATGTGATTTCATTATTATTATTATATCCCCTGTTGGACTATGAAGTCTTCAATGATAATGTTATTAGTTATAGTTTATGACTTAAAACATAATAGGTATTTACTAAATGTTTGTTCAATAAATTAAAAAAATATAAGGCAGTATATATAGGCAGTAAGTTACCAGAGCTTCTTTAATGTAAAATTCACTTTTATCAGGTTTTTCTCAAGCTTAATCATCTCTGTTTTGTCAGCAGCATATTGAAGTATAGCCTTGTGAATTTGTTTGGTTTTGACACTGTAGATGATGGGGTTGAGCTCAGGGGGCAGAACCAGGTATATATTGGCCATCACTGAATGGACCACTCTGGGGGCTGACCGACCATAGTGATCCATCAAGGACAGGCTTACCATGGGGATGCAGAAAATAGCAACTGCTCTGATGTGGGAGACAAAAGTGCTAAAGACCTTGTGCCTCTCTTCAGGGGAGGCAATACTCAAAATAGAACAAATAATTAGGATATAAGACAAGACAATGCATGATGTATCTATTCCTGTGGTCAGGATGAGACCAATTAATCCACAGATGCTGTTGGCCCAAGTGTCTGAACATGCTAATTTAATCACGTCTGGATGATAACAATAGGAGTGGGAAAGGGCATTAGCTCTACAGAAAGAGAGATCCTTGAGAAGCAAGAGTAGTGGTACTACTATTACTACAGTACGTATAATCATCAAGAGGCCCATCTGAATGATTCTGGAATTAGTGAGGATGGTTGTGTACCTCAGAGGGTTACAAATTGCCACGTAATGGTCAAAAGTCATAGCCACAAGCACCCCAGATTCCACGAAGGTGAATCCATGAAGAAAAAACATCTGGATGATGCAGGTATCCAAACTGATTTTACTTGCATTAAACCATAGGACACCTACCGTTGTTGACATTGTAGAAACAGTCAAACCCAACTCAGTAGCTGACAGCATGGAGAGGAAATAGTACACAGGCTCATGGAGACTCTGCTGGGTGAGGATGACAAACAGGATCATGCTGTTCCCAGACAAGGCAACGGCAAAGAGACAACAGAATGGAATGGAGAGCCAGGAATGGACAGACTCTAGGCCAGGAATACCAGTGAGTGAGAAGATTGGAAATTGAGATGTCAAGTTGCTTAGGATCTCCATGTTGTCCTGGAGTGGTAGTATTTTTTCTCGAAGTGCTCACATCCTATAGAAATCATAAATTAACTTATTATTCAAAAATGTCTAGATAACTTTTCTTTTGGTAAGGAGAGTCACACAAAGTCATAGATTAGCTCTCTATCAATGTGAAAACTTGAAATCAAACTCCAATATTCACATGTCTTTTAAATCAGAGACATTTAGCAAATATATAGTATTTTTACCATTAAATTTAAGAAAAAATATGTCCATATAATTTTCAATAGTTCGATGTTAATCATTTTTATATTGTTAAAATTTTAACCTCATCAATGAGATCTGAAAATTCCATGAATAAAGTATTAATTAAAAAAATTAGTACATATAACCTTGAATATATTGTGTATGGAATAACTAGGGGAAACTCAGCTAAAGTAATCTGTTTGTCTGCAGTGTCCATGTGGGCGTGAATCTTCAGGCACAGACTTTTTCTGGAAATGTACATTTGGAAGTTATTATTATACGAGTGTCATTTTAATCAAATAGAGTGCGTGAACAACCTCAGAGAGAAGGTTTACAAATGAAATCCAGTGAAGGCAGAACTCTGTAAAAGTTTTAGGAAAGTAGTGTATACATTAAAGTAAGATGAGAGTAGACAGTATTATAGGAAGGGTAAAACCAACAGAGTGTGGTGTCACATTGGGTGATACATGAAAAAATTTCAAATTGCCTTAGAAGTCAAGTTCTGGTAAGGACTAAAGGATCAAATGCATCTAAGAATACGTTAGTGACCCTGGAAAAAGAAATGGAAGTCCAATGATAAAAGATGAGAACCTGATAAAACAACTTAAGGAATGAATGAGAAAATAAATATTGATGGCACAATGCATATTATTTCTAGAACCTTGGCAGTGAAAACAACAAGAGAAATAATCCAAGACTAAAGGAAACTGTAAGATGTATGGAGAATTTTGCAAAATGAGAAAGACTTAGGAAAATGTATATGTTTATAAGCTGATGTTAAAGGTATGATAGGCTAGGAGAGATTGGAAATATAGAAATGATTAGAATTAATTGCTATAAAGAATTCTTTAAGAATGTAGTAAGTGATTAAATACAGAGAATGAGAGTAATTTAACCCTTAACATGATGAGGATTATCAATTCCACTGACGAGAGAGTAAGTGGAAATTTGGTAGGTGGCAAAAGTTGGAAATAAAGAAGAAAGACCTGTATTGGGAAAATATGGGCTTGGTGATAGAACCAACACCAGAGATTCAACAATACAATTTTGCAAGACCAACGATTTATTCACTGCAAATACCTTTTTCAACAACAAAAATGGAGACTGTACATGTGGACCCCACTGGATGGAAAACATAGGAATCATATCAATTACATCTGTGGAAAGAGACAATGGAAAAGCTTAATACCATCAGTCAGAAAAGGGCCAGGGGTGGACTGCAGAAGAGACCATCAATTGCTCATATGCAAGTTGAAGTTGAAGTTAAAGAAAATTAAAACAAGTCCACAAGAACCAAAATACAACCTTGAGTATATCCCACCTGAATTTGGAGACTATCTCAAGAATAGATTTGACGCATTGAACAATAATGACCAAAGACCAGATGAGTTGTGGGATCACATCAAGGGTATCATACATGAAGAAAGCAAATGGTCATTGAAAAGACAGGAAAGAAAAGACCAAAATGGATGTCAGAAGAGACTCTGAAAGTTGCTCTTGAAAGTAGAGTAGCTAAAGCAAAAGGAAGAAGTAATGAAGTAAAAGAGCTGAACAGAAGATTTCAAAGGGCAACTCGGAAAGACAAAGTATTATAACGAAATGTGCAAATACTTGGAGTTAGAAAACCAGAAGAGAAACATATCTCAAGCTGAAAGAGCTAAAGAAAAAATTCAAGCATTGAGTTTCAATTTTGAAGGATTCTATGGTCAAAATATTGAATGAGGCAGGAAATATCAAAAGAAGTAGTACACTGAGTAACTGTACCAAAATAATTCGTTGATATTCAACCATTTCAGGAGGTAGCAAATGAGCAAAAACCAATGGCATTGAAGGAAGTAGTCCAAGCTGCACTGAAGACATTGGTGAAAAGCAAGTCTCTAGAAGTTGACAGAATACCAATTGATATGTTTTAACAAACGGATATAGAGTGAGAAATACTCACTTGTCTATACCAAGAAATTTGGAAGACAGCCACCTGGCTGACTGAAAAAAATCCATATTTGTGCCCATTCCACAGAAAGGTGATTCAATAGGATAAAGATATTATCAAACAATATCATTAATATTACAGGCAAGTAAAATATTCCTGAAGATTATTCAAAACCAGTTGCAGCAGTGCATTGACAGGGAACTGCCAGAAATTCAAGCCGGATTCCGAAGTGGATGCGGAATGAAGGATATCATTGCTGATGTCAGATGGATCTTGGCTGAAAGTAGAGAATACCAGAAAGATGTTCACCTGTGTTTTATTGACTGTGCAAAGGCATTCAACTGTGTAGATCATAACAAATTATGGATAACAATGTGAAGAATGAGAATTCCAAAACACTTAACTGTGCTCATGCAGAACCTGTACATAGACCAAGAGGTAGATGTTTGAACAAAACAAAGGGATACCGTGTGGTTTAAAATCAGGAAAGGTGTGCACAGTGTTGTATCCTTTCACCATATTTATTCAATCAGTATGCTGAGCAAATAGTCCGAGAAGCTGGACTATATGAAGAAGTATGTGGCATCAAGATTGGAGGAAGAGTGATATGCAGATGACACAAACTTGCTTGCTGAAAGCAAAGAGTACTTGAAGCACTTAGTGATGAAGATCAAAGAATACAACCTTCAGTATGGATTACATCTC